ATATATATACAGCAAACTCCCTGTTATCTGGCATCCCCAGGGATTGGTAGAGTATGGATCGATGTAGTTTCTGGCTGCTTGAGAGTACTATTAAATATGGGTTTAACTAATGCTATAACCCCATACTATAGTATAGTGTACGCTAAAGCATTAGCATTAGCTGGGAGTGATCACTAGGCGGCACTTGTTCACAGGATAACACAAAACTTTCACAAACGATTGATCAGACACCCGTCTCCAGGATAACACAGCACTTTTCAGAGATCATTCAGAAACTCATTCCCACGATAATCCAGCACTTTTCAGCCCATTCCTGTTCCTTTCCATGCCCCAGGGCCCTCTCTCCCTCTCCTAGAAGGTGGTAGATCGGCAGAACAGTGAGTACACAGGGAACATTTTTTTTTGTTGCCTGTTAGATGGGAGTTATGATTAACTGAATACCGGATAACACAGAGTTTACTGTACATGTAATGTTACATGTACAACACAAAGCCCCACCTGGGACCTCCCGCTCTGAGATGTTTCATCCCAACAAAGCTTTAATCATAAAGGTCTCTATGATTAAGTCCTTGTTTGGGTGAAGCATGTAACAGTGGGAGGTCGGAGGGGGGGCTTTGTTTTTTTACATGTTCAGTACAATAAAGTTTTTTAAAAAGCTGGGCATATGGATGTGCAGGTGGTTTTCATTAGTTTGTTTCTCATTTGTTTATTGATCTACATATTCTTAAAAAGCAGTAAATAAGCAGTAAAGTATATCTAAACCCAAAAACAAAGAAATAATGTGTACCACCCTGTAAGCAGGAATGTTAATATAAAAATTAGTGTTGTAAGGTTGTAATCAGTCTGATGCTGATCTATAGTCTATGCTCATTTGGTTTCCCATAATCAGTCTGTTATCGTTTGCATCTGCCTGCTGCTGAGTGTATCCTTGCCATGGGGCAGAGCAACCAGTAAGAGATTGTTATGAGTATATGTGTCTCCCTGGCCAATCAGTAGTAGGCTTATGGCCAGTGGTGTATGCTGGGAAAGGACATAAATATTCGGGGCAGAACATGTGAGTTTCTCTTTTCTCCCCCGGGCCCTGCCTGGGGGGTAGGCTGCTATGGACTGATTTGGCTAGGCCTTTTGCTAGGTCTGAAGCCTAGGGAATTAGCCATGTGCTCACAGTGAGGCCTGATCCTGGGGACCCAGTGGTTGATAATGAGGATGAAGATGACAAAGTAACTTCAATAGGCATGGGGGACCTTGGAAGTGAGTCTCTGCTGAAACTTGAGAGTCTGATTGGTGACTTCTAGTTCAAGAACTGCTCAGCCAGGTACTCAATACAGAGATTGCCCTATTTGGCTTAAAGGTCCTAATCTGTGGAGGCAGCAGTTACTGTGCTCTAACACTTAAAGGAGTCTGCATCAACATGGAAGTTCTTAGCCCTAAACCTCTCTCCCTAAAGTTCTACAATAACGTTTCTTCAGAATCATATCTACAATCTGGATCTCTACTTTATCGGTCGCCACAGAGGGCCAGGTTGCTAAAATCCCTAGACAGGCTATGGAAGGCCCATTCATCTGGCGGCTCCTTTGGGGGTGAGCGCTACAAATGTATTACAGTTTGCCAGTCCTTAGATGAAGTGGCTGCAATAGGTTTTTTTTCTTAGGCTTTTTTCCTTCTTTTTACCTGGTAATCCTGACAATAGCATACTTCCTGTCCTAGGGTGGCTACACCCACCTCCTCACTGTATGTTTGTAGGGAGCCATGGTTGTCACTCAGTCTAGTCATCAAACATTTCTGCCTTTTTTCATCTCCATTACATGGGGTGATGACATTGTTTGTGCCTCTTGTTCAGTTCACAGGAGGTTATAAAGACACTTAATTTCTGGCAAGAACAACAGCTATTTTCTATACTTTCTGAAAATGTTTTTTTGTCTGAAAAAAAACAACAAAAAAACGAATGGACCTACCACATCTAAGGACTGGTGAGCTGCAGTATACTAAATATTTGTTCTTTGGTTTAGATATCTTTTTAATGTTTGAGAGAATACAATGCTCAAACTCACTAGAAAGTTATAAAAAAAAAAGAGGTATAAATACTTAGAAGTACATTAAACATTGTAGCATGAGAGATGTTTACTATGAAGGGTACAAGATGAGGAAATAAAAAAAAATACCCCTATCAAGACAATAAAAGAGAAAAGGAGAAAGTCTGTTGACATCTTCGTAATGGAAAGGGATAAACATGTTTGAGGTGTATAGAAGTAAATGAGAGGGAGTAAGAGCAATAAGAAATAAGAGAGGAAGTAGAAAATAGATTAAGAGGGATAGGAGAGATGGATGGGATGAAGAAAAAATAAGGAGGGTAGAAGCATAGCATGAATTAAGGGTGAAGGAGAAAGGTAAGTGTTAGATAGATTGAAGGGGAGCGATTAGAAGAATTATAGAATAGAGATAGCAAGAAAAGATAAAAACAAAAGATGGGAGAATGGTGGTACTACTTAAAGTCACATCATTAAGGAAAGATATTGTAAAGCAAGAAAATGGAACAACCGGATGGATAAGATTCATGAACTAGAGATTATGCCCTGTGAAAATAACATCCAAACTTGCCATCTATGGTGAAATAGGTTGTATAGATTGAGTCAATATGAGATAAGCCTTTCATAGATACAATAGGAAGATACTGGTTTAGATATCTTTTGACATAAGCACTCACTTACCTCTGTAGCTACAACCACTGTGGAGCAATACTTTTACTGAAATATATTTAGCCACAAAGTAAACTAAAACCACCAAATACCTGCACAAACAGAGCTATTACCTTGTAAAGTAGTGGTGACATTATCACTGTGTTGCACATAGCAGAGAGCAGAGCTGTGGGAAAGACCTAGCAAGTCCTTCCACCACAGGCTGCCTGAAGAAAACTACAGGGGTTGGGAGAAGGGGGAGACTAGTCATCTTGCAGAAGGAGAGAGCAGCAGTAAGCGGTCTTTATTACAGGAATCTCCAAGTTTCACACTGTATTACTGCACAGATCTGGAAGAAACACAGAAAGGTCACTCAGATATAAGTAAGAATACACATGACTCTTGTATGTAGTCATTATAGATATTTTGCTTATCTCAGAGCTCAGCTTTAAGTCATTCAAGTCAGGTCTCAGCCCTCCTCTTCCTTTGCCCCTGTTCTGTGTTACTAGCAGAGATTACAAGGGTGGAAGGCTGCTAATTCACTGCTGGGAGGTAGGAGCTGAGATACAGAGAGAAAGTGAAAATAAAACAACAAATATGTGGCTGCAAGTTTTGAGGATGGTTGCAGCTACAGAGGTCAGTAAGGGTTTGTTATAAAGTTTACTTACTGCTTGTTAAGAATATGTTAATATTTGAATGTCCGTAGCCTGGCCTCAATTTTACTTTAAGGCCCCTTCCAGATGGGCACCTACAGTTCCAATCCGCAGGGTATCCATGCATGCAGCTATGCATGGATCCCCTGCTGATCAGAATGGATGTCACCATTCTGATATCTGTGTCCATCCAGTTTTATCCTCTATCTTGCGATGGAGTTAAAAACTGAAATACTGGACCCATGTTGGTATATGGGGAATCGGATGTAAACAGAAATGTGCCCTTTTCAGATTACCTCTGATCCAGCACAGTCCGATCCATTGAAACGGAACTCTGATACATTTGATTTTATGGACCTGGCCAGAGCCAGACGCATATCCATTTAGATCAGGCTGCCCATAGACTAACATTGGACTTATGACCAGATCCGCCTGAAAAACTGACTGGAGGACGTGATAGGAATGCTTGTGTGCAAGGACCTTAGATAAACAGTTATCTGGTATAATAAGTTCATTTAGATTGTTTATTGACTGTCCCTCTCATTTAAGACTGCCGCATATTTGGTGAGATTTAAAAGGTCAGCAGTGAATATGTGGTAGAAATTGAGGTGCATTGTGTTCTATGGAGATGACAATATGGACAGGTACCAACCAGACCAGTCATATTTGATCATCAGTTACCCTTGATGGCTAAATCTGTCCTGCATTGGTTGCTTGGTCTGCCTATACATGGTCAGCTATACTTTCCCAAAATGAATGAATAAATAAAGAAAAAGGGGGAATTTGAGTAGTTGCTTTGGCCAACACATATTTTTACTTCAGACATATAAGACCCATTTATTGATATGCATAATGTTCTCCATATTTCAATCAAATGTCCTTTTGTATCCTCTTTTAGGAGACCTGAAGATAATTAACTTATGGTTCATCTTAAACCCAGAAGTTGACGCCTTCTCAAATGACATATCATGTCAAATAATAATACAGACACAGGAATTCTATAGAAAAAAACTGGTTCATAATGTATTCCTATACATATACTTTTCTGTTAATTAGAAAACTTTGTACTTTGCTTCAGATTTTTGAAGTGTTTCATCTAGGATTCCACACACATTTCGCATTAGTGAGGGCACAAGGTCTCTTTCCAAAACTGGAAAATCTGGCAGCATTTAAGCCCATCTCCACAGAGCCACCCAACGCCACATGTGGCTTCCCGCAAAGAAGTGTTTTTTGTCAAAGTGCATTGGATCAACAAAGCCTGCAGACTTGCATTCAGCGGTTTTGTGTTCAAGATTGCCCGTATAGATCCTACACTCCGGGCTACCATCACCTTCTTGAAGGAGACCTTGGTCATTGTATCAGAAAGGATGCAAAAGACTTACACCCAAAATCCAGCAAAGATTCATACAGCCTCCTCTTTTATGATCACAAAGATTGCTTTATTATCACAACAATGGCAAAAGTGGGAATTTCATTGACGCTGACCGCATGGCTGAAACCTGAGCAAGCCGGTGAAATGTAAGTACGAAAGCATCTGTTACCTTCTCTTGCATGCAAAATTAGCAGTCCAGGGTCTTCTGCCTTTAAAATAAAAATCAAGAGTGGAACAAACTACAAGTGCAGCTTTTTCAGTCCTCCGGTAATTTAACCCAAAGCTTGTTATCTTTTTTTTACTTAAACTTGAAAGTTTAATAGATATTAGAATGGTGAGATGGGTTATTTGTAGGATATAATGTGATTCTTTTTTCTAATTGGAAAGCAGCCCAAACACAAGTTATAGGACAAGTGTTAATTATTTAGTTTCTTGTTACCGTAGCTATAAACTTACATTAAAGAGGATGTGAAAAGACTGTGGGGATCACTTAGATGATGTTGGATTGTAAAAGATGGACAGAAGTATTTAAAGTAGAATTTTTCTTAACCCTTGCAGTGGGGCTGCCCCGGCACGGCAAGGATTAAGTCATTGTTTTTGTCTAGGTGCTATAAAAAAATGTATTCACCCGACCCTCTGAGCTGGCTCACTTGTAGACTGGTACTTGGAGCCTTTCTCCCCTTCCTCTGCAGAGGTCTAAGGTCCTGTAATTCATCACAATCTATACACAGTGTATAGACGTGAAGATGCTGTGGATCATTCCAATTCCAAAGAAGCAGGCCGCTGGCTTGGCGGTTTGGGTTAGTATAACTTTTTTTTAGCACTTAACTCAGTGTAGTGTGGGGGTAGCACTTTTGCCTGGTGTTCTTCTTTAAGGATTTGAAAAGTTGTAATTAAAGCCCAATTTCACAATTTTTTAAAATGTATTTATAGCCCAAACTTTTTTTTGTTTTGGATAGAGTAGGGAAGGGTTAAAACCATTGGCAGTTTTTTTTATTTGGTTCTCTGTGTGGGGACACAGCAAGAAGTGAGAAGAAATCTCTCCAAGTGAGTGAATTCCCCTCTGAGACTTTTTTTTCATCAGAATCGGCTCTGTATTGGAGGATTTCCCTGATATTCCTGTTATTATTATTATACAGGATTCATATAGCACCAACAGTTTGCGCACCACTTGACAGATTAGGAGATAGCCGGATAGATTGTGGTAGGGATTTTTAGAGGATGGGAGAGGCTCTGGAGACATACCGGAGGTGAGCATGGGAGGAGGTAATGAGAGAGTTCTGTTCTGGCAGCAGCTAAAACAAATTGTGCTTTGCCCTCATTTTATTCAACCCCACAATGGTCAGCAAGACAAATAAAGAGGGTCTCCTCTTCCCCTAACGAGAACAAAAACTACACTAAAACAAAACAGGGTTCCTATCCCCTCACTCACAGATGTATCCTTACCGCTTTTTCCTGCAACAACTCTGGACTTTTGGATTTCCCATGATAGTGTTCACCAGAACAACTGAAGTTGAATTTTAACCATGCAGGCTGCTGAAAATATGGCTATACAGTCATATCAGAATAAATAATTGAAAATATAAATAATTTCAAGAGGTAAAAGCCATTTGTAATATTATTATTTTGTTTATATTTTGAAAATACAGTTAGAGGCATCATGTTTGAAAATACATTTCTTAGAAAAAAATCAAAATCCCATTTACCTATCACCAAAATTAATCCCACAATTGAACAATTATTTTAAAAATGTTGTAAATAGGATGCTTTTCTTTTTTTTTTTATTAAATTCAAAAAGTCAAGAAAAAAATGATCTCAAATTTGTCATTCTTCCTGTGTGTTCTCATAAACGCCTTTCTAGCAATAATTAGCTGCTTATTCACATATACCAAGAGAATATTTCATGTCCTAATTGGCGAAATAATGAAAACCGATTTTGTCTCTAAAATCATGCTCCCAACAGAGAGCCAGCCCTGGAATTCTTTTGAATAGATCCACATGGTGTTAAGATATAATGTGCAATCATTTCTTTGAATTTGCACAGCTCACCTGAGGCAACTCTTAAAAATAGCTGGCGTCGTTAGATACACAATGCATGAAATCTTAAAGGAATTTCAGCCTATGGCACCAAATTAGGATGAATAGTCTTACTTGGCTTTGTTTAGCGAGGAAAGTTCAATAACTAATGAGGGAGTAGTTTGAAGATGAATACTAGACAATGAGGCTATAGCATCTCTTATCATCATTCCCCCCCTTTTTTTTATTCAGAGCTTAAGAGCTTGTTGTGTTGCCCATCCTTACTTCAAATAACAAAAAAAAGAAATCTTGTAACGGGCGCCTAAAGTACGGTGGCCTAAAGGTATGAATGAGTGAGGCGGTAAAGACGACAGGGAATCTGCCATCTGTGAAATTTAAATAGAATAAATGGAGAAGATAAATGATATATCTGAACTTAATTTCCCCTGGTTTCCTTATCCCAGAGCTGTAGTACTTAACTCTATTCCTCGCTGTAAGATGCCGCTGCTAGTTAAATTCTCACTGCTGGCAATCTTTGGCCTTTTTTTTTTTGTGCCACCAGTCATGATTTTTATGCTTAGTATATTTCAGTTTTATTTGAATGTTTTTTTTTGGTTTATATGGCATAAAATATGCAGAGTACATGATTTACTTTACTGGAAATAAGTGCTGGTCTACAGTAATGGAGTTTATGCTGTGTGGTCATATTGATGCCGATTGGGAAGCTCATAAGGGTTAGGTGGGTTTCAAAGATTTCTGCAACAAGTGTTTTATAGGATGTCCTACAATTCTGAAATACACACCCTAACGCTTTTTTTATTGTATGTTGCTGATCAATTGGTAATTAATTTAAAGCTGAATTAGCTACCAAAAAGTTTGACATTTCATGCAGCCAATCTTGTAGGCATCCCTGACACAGATCACAACCAGGTCAGTGACCTAATAGGTCTCCTCTGCTGATGAAGGAGCTATTTGCCCCCCCCTAAAAAATGTGTATATTGCCAAGCTGTGCCAATCAGGCAAAGCTTGGCACTTTCAAGTAGTGTGGAAAGTTTACTCACCTCCTACCTCTTTTTATTCTCCCAACTATCCTATTAGGCAGGCCATAAAAATTGGTAATTTGATTATGCCTTTATTGGTTAAAATGGTAGGGTACAGGCAACACCTTTTTGGCGGATTAGGGCTTCCCCTTCTTCATAGTAGAAAAATATCTTACCATTTGGCTATGCTGTGTGATTTTTTTAAAATCACAGATTTTTATCAAAAGTTTTTGAAATATAGAATACAAAATATAGTTTGCAATAATGCATACATTTGCATATTAGAAAATAACTGTAATCAATTTACATAACATAGTCAAAAAGATATTCAGGCAGTTAGAATATGAGTTAATCTGCAACGTATTGCTCTAGAGGTTTGTACCCATAATTCACAATGTAAAGTAATTAGAAAGAGAATAGAGGATAGAAATAGGAATCATAAGAGAGAAAAAAGAAATACTACTAGTTGGCGCCAGGGTCTGTAACGTGTTGGAGAACGGGAACATAGGATTTAGAGCAATGGTCTCAAAGTACCTGCCCACAGGGGAATTGCGGCCCGCAAGCCGGTACTATGTGGCCCGCAGCCAGCACACAAGTCTGGTACGCGGTCATGGACTGTGTATCAGACTTGCGGGAGCAGCTATACGGTCTGCATCTCGGTCGGATGCAGACCGCATAGCTGCTTCTGTGCTGGCACTCGGATCCTTTCGGCTGGCGTCTTCGCTTAACGCTGGCCAAAAGGATTGATTAGTAAGAGTAGGGGAATGATAGCAAATGTGCTCAAACATGGTTAGATCTGGTTAGGATAAAGTAGTCAATATAAACAAAGAGGCCCAATGTCTGAGTTGTAAATATCTAAAATATTCAGAAGACGGGGTCTGCAGCTTTTCTCTAAAATGACCCTAACACCTGATGGAGGTATATTTTAGCAAATTATGTAGGTAATTTAGGTTATGTACCAAGGGTGATTCAAGACCCAGGGGGAATAAGGGAATGCTGTGTGTTTTATTGGGACAGGCATCCTGGTATAGGAGGTATTGTGGACAGTCTATTCCAGATCCAGTGACCAAGCACTCCAAGTGTCTGCGCTTTATGCCTGTCTACTTTTATTGAACCTGTCAGCTTTTATGTATGGTTTTTTTTTGTAAATGTCATGGGGGGGGCATGGAGGTGCCAGTGCTGGCAGATGATGTCCACCGGGAGAGGAGACAGGCCTTGCGGTTCTTATGCTGATTTTTGTTTAGGGGAGAGGGGTGGACGCCAGACTGGCTGACAGAAGCTGAGCTGGATGTTCCTGTCAACCAGTGACGTCAGTGAGTGGGTGTAACATACGTGTTCCGTCTCAGCCGGGTACGAGCGCCGTTCGCGCTAGTGCGCAGGCGCGCCGTATGGCGCCGCCCACTCTCAGACGGGGTCCGGCGGCATCACTGCGCAGGCGCGCCGCGAGACTCCGCCCCCTCACTCGGTCCGCAGCCATAAAGCCGCGGGCCACTGTTTGATCGGCGTCCCACTATTTTGGAAGCAGGACGCTGATCAAAGCAAACCTTTCCTGCCTCAAACAAGGATCCACGGAAGCATCTCACCAGGGAGACAGCACAAGTGCAAGTACCAGGCTTCGGCCAGAATCATTGACCTGCTAAAACCTCGAGGCTCCTAACTATTTGACCAGCAGCCTGATATGCTGTGTGCTGTGTTACCTCATCTCTATATTGAAGTGCTAATTGTTTCCCTGGGAGCTGTTACAACTCCTGCCAACTGAATTACTGTCTTTCAACTCCTATACCTTTGATCTACTAGTTAAAAATCTTGTCAGCTGTTATAACTCGCATCTAGTTAAACTACTGTGTTACAACTCATACTTATTGGTCTGCTATGCAATAACTCATACCTAATGAACCACTAACTAATATCTTGTCAGCTGTTACTTATTGGTCTGCTATGCAATACTCATACCTTATGAACTACTAATTGTTATCTTGTCAGCTGTTACAACTACTACCCAATTGAACTGCCGAACTGTGTTCCACACTACCCTACAGACATCCCACAGGGTAGTAGTGCTGCAATACGGGGCATGATGTTGAGTAGCTCCCTCCTCGCCTAAAAACATACTCGGCTAAAGAGGAGAGCTACAATCTGATACCCGTCCTTTAAGGAGAGATCCTTAACTGCAGCTGCGGTCCTGGGAACAGTCAACCCCCGGGGTGGTTGTTACAGTGGGGCGATTCCCCACAACTCCATGAGCTGGGTGAGAAGCCACAGAAAGTGTCACAGGTTGCTAAGAGCTCTTAGCAACCCGGGACGCTGTGGCTGCCCCCTGCCACCACCACCACTACCCGGCCTCCCACAGTGAGATGCTGCCTGAGGCAACCGCTAGAATCTTTCACTAGAATCTTGGCAGATTTCCAGCTACAGGGAGATGTGGGTATAATGCTAACTGAACTTTTAGCTCACAAGATTTTTGGCAGTATTGATTGGTATTTTTTTGTACTTATTAAACAGATATTTATTTATTACAGGTACTTATATAGCACCAACAATTTACGCAGGTCTTTACATACTGTACATTCACATCAGTCCCTGCCCTCAAGGACCTTATGGTCTGAGGTCCCTATCGTACATGCATACATACAGGGCAAATTTTCCTTCCAGAATGTCTTCAAGAACAGGGAGAATATGCAAACTCCTTGCATAGGAGTTTGTCCTTAGGGGTTTGACCAGTGACTGTGCCAGTGCAGCAAGGCATAAGTGCTACCCACTGTGCTGCCCAGATAAAACAAAATTATTTCAATATCATATTTATCAGACCAAAAAGGGAGCACATAAGAGAAGTTCACTGTTAGGGTTTACATACGCTTGAAGATTGAGCCTTATGAAAATCAGTTTCCTGGCACCGTTTTAAAATGACTCAAGCACAAGGAGGTTAAACAACAGTTTAATACTTAAATATAATATGAAATGGATACAAAATCTATATTTGTCACAAAGTATCGCCTAGAAGAGCCTAGAAAAGTAAAGCATTATTGTAATAATATCCTATCTTCCCATGATGACTGTAGAGAGCTTAGAGTCGTGAATGTTTATGCTGCACTTTATTTTCTGGTCTATGTTGTCTAGAAGATGATTTTGATCTTTTTTTTATATTTACTTCTGAAGGTGTGTGATAGAAAAGTCCGCTGATGGGCAGATTGTGTTCAAACTCACAATCTCGGAGAGAGAAACCGTGTTTTATTATCGCACTGTAAATGGTTTGCAGCCGCCTATAAAAGTAATGACACAAGGGAGATTTTCTGTGAAGAGATGGATTCATCTTAGTGTGCAGGTGGGTAAAAATACATAACATTTGGTTAAACACAAAAAGCGTTTCAAAATAACGTGTGAAAGATAAGCTCTAGAGATGTAACTGTAGCATCCATGGTGTGCATACTTCTTTGTGTCTATATGTATCTGATGAAAGTCATATTTCTACATCCCTGTGCCATTCCATTAATAAGTGTTTGTCTTGTAGTGTCTTTTTCTATACTGTTGCATTAATAAGTGTTTGTCCAGTACAGTTGGTCACAGAACATCATACTAATAATGTATATGTGCATACTCTGCCATATAAACATGGCCATATTTTTAGCGTGGACCTCAAGTCTGTGTTTCCAACCATCTTCTGCCCTTCACCTTAAGCCCTCATTCACATGGTAATCGGCCCGCACGTACAGCTCCGTGCTGCGTGCAGAGCTGTACCAAGCAGCTCCCGGGAAAGTAGGACAGAAGCTGCGTGTGATTAGTACGCAGCCCCCGTCCTTCTCTATGGGACTACGCGGCCGTACGCCCCCTACGCTTACCCGCCCTGCACGTTCCTGCAGGTGCGGATGAGCGTACTCGTACGCTGACAGGATGGATCCTGTCTGCGTCTGAGGCGGAAAACACGCCCCCCTACGGACCTGCACTTGAGGTGAGCGTAGGGGGACCTATGGCCGTGTAGTCCCATAGAGCAGGACAGGAGCTGCATACTAATCACATGCAGCACCTGTCCTTCCTGGGAGCTACTCGGTACGGTCCTGCACGCAGCACGAAGCTGTACGTGCGGGCCGACTACAGTGTGAATGAGGCCTAATCTTCCACAAAGATCTCTGTAGAGCTGGTCATACACTGCTCAAATTTTGGCCCATTCTTACTGATTCAGTTGCAATTTGAGACATGGGTGGCCCTGTTGCCCCCCCCCCCCCCCGCCCACCCCTATGATCTAAGAATTCATGACCGAATAGCACTTGTCTCCAACGAGATGCACGCACCATTCAGGCATTCAGGAGCCACTGCTGAATACCATAGCTGCCAGTGAGGATTCCTCCTGCCAAATCAATTGATCTCCCTTATTCAGCCAGAAGATGCATGTTTGGGCAGTTTAATACTTATCTATCTAAAACAGCCTCAATGTGGAGGTCACATGTGCTCTAATAAAGGGCATAACCTAAACTCAGACGTAAATACATAAAGAGATTTTAGGCTTCGGTTAGAGGGCAGAAGTGGGTGAAAAATTAGGGTTAAAGTGTACTTTGAAAATGTATTGCTTAATTAAGTCACATATTCCTTTAACTGACAAACGGGTTAATTTATTAAAGCCAGTGTTGCTCCCGTGATGGACTACAAACTCACGTTTTATTTACTGATTTGTATTGAGATTGTAGTCCATCACGGTAATGAGCTTGGAGCGGTGACTACTTTACAACACACAAAGGGACCATGAGGAACAAAAGTAGCCACCCTCCAGAAGCAGGGGCGTAACTAGAAATCACAGGGCCCATAGCATTGTATGGGGCCTTGTGATTTCTAGTTACACCCACCTGATAACCCAAACAGCCCACCTAAGGGTGACCCTGCAGAGCCCACCATAGACTCTCTATGGTAGGCTCTGCAGGGTCTCAGGCGGGCGGTCAAGCCCTCTTACCTGTCAGCCCTGATCCTCTGTCATCCTCCTTCTCCTCCACAATCGACTCCTCCGTCACTGTGCCCCGTCTCCTCGATCGATGGACCAGAAGGTGTCAGCACAAATTCAGAGATGATTTGAGGATCTACGGCCAAGTGCTACACAAATAAGATACGTTTTTGATAATAGTTAAGGTATTTGAATGTATTTTTAAGATTTAACTCCTGAGTTTAGTGTCACTTGAAGGTTCTGGTACTGCATGAGTGTGGCTTACCTGCATTATGTGTCTGTTGTAATTACAGCATTGTAATTAAGTGAAATGTTCTCTTAACCAGTCCTAATAAGATTTAGAGATGGATTCTAGGCAGGTATAAATAACACCAATTAATGCAGTTCTGTGTTAAAAAATGATTACATGTATTTTTAAGTGCAGCTACTGTAAGTGTCTGGATTTATCTTGAGCCTAGCCTGTTGTACTACCCTCTACAGCAGCACTGAGACTGGACAGGGAGGGGCAACATCAGAGATCACCCAATTTTTGTAGCATCTGCAACCATTTATTCCCTATTCATACCTAGGCATTTGTTGTACCTCAAAGCTCGGAGCTAAGGAGCAAAAGAGGCGCTAGTGAACTGGTACCTCACCCCCCCCAAATATGACAAATAGATATGTAGGACAAACAATGTTTTGTTTTTCTTAGGTAACCTGTAAACAAAGCACGATTTAATTATAACAACTAAACATTTAATTATATATGCAGTTTAAAAACATAAAGTATTAAATATGTAATAAGTATGACATGTGAGCCACCTCATAATAAGCCAACAGTGGACACACAGACATGTAAGCAATTTGTTTGATAAAAGTCCTGTATCTGGATCTTCTTTGAGTGTGTAGAAGTAAATCAATAGATGTGTTGCGATCCCCACCATATGAGAGGGAGGCTGTTTGGACTTATATTACAGATAGTGGAGCGGTCTGTGCATTTTTCACACCTGGGGTCCCCCCTCACATATCAGGTGAGGGTGGATGTCTGTCTGCTGCACCCTGTTATGTCATGACTTATGAGCTTTAGTGCCTTTCCCCTAAAAAAGCTATTAGCGAAATATGTTGGGAACAATGATCCAACAACGCACAACACATCTATTGATTTAATTCTACAAACTCAAAGAAGGCTGCTCAAAATAAGAAAACCCTGTGGCAGGCAACACAATATATGTATTTACTGTATGTACAGTATATATACATGAGGGGAAATAAAAAAGTGAAGGCAAAATACATTTAACGGCTTTAATAGAAGTAACTGGGAGCACTTGAACATATCACTTTTCCACATAGTCCCCATGCAAGATGGTGCATTTGTTGTATCGTTCGACTAGCTTCTGTATTCCTGCAGAGAAGAAGCTTTGGACTGCTTCCTTTACTTCATCATCTGAGGTGAACCTGCGACTGTGAAATGCCTCCTTCCTTTTCCATTCTGGGCCATAGTAATGCACCGATGTCTCATCGCCGGTGACAATTCTCTCCAGAATGCTCCGATCTTTTCCCTACCATCTCAAGAACTGGGACGCAACCTCCACGTGCTGTTGCTTATGCAGAGCAGTAAGCTGTTTGGGAACCTATTGTACGCAGACTTTCTAGTAGCCCAAATCTTTATTCACTAAGGCAAATGTGGAACCATAGTTGATATGCAAATGTGAAGCCACTTGACACACTGTTATCCGTCAGAATGAGCGCTGTTTTTCGATGGTGCAATCTTGCGACGGAATGCCCATGTTTCTGTCCACGTAACTAACACTGGACTAAAGTCTGAGCGATGTACTGCGCATGGTCGAACTATCCAACAGGTTTTGTGAATATGATGAATTTTGCTTCTTTGAGTAGTGTATACAGTATGTGGACAAATTCACAATACCACATTCTCGTTTTCACTCTTCACATGACCCACACTCTTACCACCTTTAGAGTTTGTTGGAGGGAGTGTGACTACTGTGCTAGACATTTGGCAGAGAGACTAGCATTATACGAAGCTTCAAGTGAACATCAGCATTCGTAAACTGTAGCTTCTGTGAAGCTGAATTTATTTGAAATCTTTAGAGAAAATATCCATTCTGGTAAAATCAATATAGAAGCATATTTAAAGATTCACCCACTGTTGATTTAAAATAGTCTTTTTTTTTCTTCTGACTATAGTTCAATTGATTATTAGTACTTTTCCCTCTAATTGCGTTCATTAATTATGCATCCCGTGTTTTAAGCCACCTTTTCAAAGCGTCTTCATTACTGAAGTACGTTGTACATTAACTATTAATTATAACACGGTGACTGTGAATGTGAGATTTGGGGTTGTCGGTGAAATATGCAGGTTCTAGTTAAGAAAATTAGGTAGGGCTTAATGAATTTCCACTGAAAAAGGCACAAAACTGATTAAACACAAGCTGTTTTAGAAGTTTTCCGGGATATGTCAGATTGATGTGGCTTTTCTTGCTTGGCTGTCTACAATTATAAAACATAATCTTTTTGGTAGCCTTTATTTTGCCTGGTCGTATCAGTGTTACACAGCCACAGTTTGGCAGACAGCAGCCTGTTAAAAGCTTCAGGAATAAAGTTTAAAATCAAAATGCAAAGAGGAACTCGCTACTGTATTACTCTCTGGAGGATAGGATGCTCTTAGAATGCCTATTGAAATCAGCATTATCATTTCAATACTTGTCAAATATGAGTCATTTCCTAGTTCAGGCAAAAATTATTTATAAATCTTTAAATCCTACAGTTCTTTCAAGAAAAGGTTAAGGTACTTATGATTTAATGAAATGCCTTTACATCATAACTGTTTAACTGTCGTGTGAAAACTTGTCCTTTAAGACGGAGAGCCCCATCAGCAGAAGGCAGTGCTGTCTTGTGTATTATTAATGCTGTATTAAGCAAAGTTACAAATGACTTGGGCTTTAAGATAATGATGGAGTACTTGTTGGCTCAGCTCTTTACGTAACCATGGAGCTGGGTCATCCCATGGGAGTAACTCCGTTTTATCACATAGTACATGGAAGCTGTTTGGTTTTTCTAGTTAGTGCCATGTTAAGTTCAACGTTGATCTGAACTAAAAAAAAAAGATTTGCTATTTTAAATGATACATCTAGAAATGATAATTGGGCCACTAAACCAGTAACAAAAATGTATCTTATTTGTGTATCACCCGGCTGTAGATCCTCCAATCATCTCAGAGTTGGTGTTGACACTGTGCTTCCTTCTGGAGGGGGGCTACTTTTGTTCCCTATGGTCCCTGTGTGTTGTAAGGTAGCCACCGCTCCAAGCTCACTCACATGATGGACTGCAAGCTCAGTAAAACTTAGTAAAGTAAATGTGAGATTGATGTCCATCACAGGAGTGAGCTTGGAGCGGTG